GAAGATGACCAGGCGGACTCATCCTGAGTCTGTGGTTAGCTTCCAGGAATCGTTCAAGAGTGAAGGAATTCCAAAGGGTTTCCCCTTCAAGAATTATTTTGAAGAATTCGATGAACTCTTCAGATGGGAGGTTGGAAGCGATGAAAGCTGCGAAATGAAACAACGGTGTTAGTCAATAAAGATAAAGAAACAACCGGGAAAGATACGGGCAACCTAATCACTACCGGGTTTCGCAGACCACTTCGAAGGGAGAAAATCAGCGAGATTTCCAATCGAAGCGGGGGTTTTCTTAATTAGAAACCAAGGATGATGCCAATTTTCATCCTTGTTCGGAAGATGCGAAATGATGTTCCTGTTGGCATTAGGATATGTTGAGAAATATCCCGTTTTCTTCGATGAACTTCTCACGCTCAGAAGCTCATTTAGTTCAGCAACTCCGATAACATAACCGGCCTCCGCCGCGATTGTTATAATTCCAAGAATTGTACGGAGAAGATTGGGGGTTAATTGAGGAAGAGCGATTTCAAGAGCCGCTAGGTATAAAATTAGGGCTTCGGGAAGAGGAAAGGTCAGCCCGCAACCCTTGAAATAAATCTCATACACACAGAAGTAACCATCGCGATGGTTCTCTGGAGATTCTGTGGGGGAAGCTATTTGTGCTTCCGCCATAATTTCCGGCGGAATCCGGCAAAGCTCTCTCAATCGCTCGAGGGATTGAAGAGTACAAGTGGACCTATAGTGCGGACCGGCAATGTCACCAGGGCGGGTGCACTCGTCGTTACTAGAACGCCTCTCGTCAAAAGACGGAGACTCGGGTCTATCGGAATCAGAAGTCATTGGTAAGAAAGAAAAATCAAGATCCGGCGAAGAAGGGTTTTGGTGAAGGAACGAAGAGAGAGGTTTTGATTAAAGTATAAAAGTAAAAGAAGAGAGTAATGGTGAAAAGAAGTTACCTCAAGCTAATGATGAAACCGCCTCGGAAGTCGTGTGGGAAGTGGGAAGGTTTTTCCCGTTTTAATAGTAATTAATCAATATACGGTCATAATGATGACAGATGTCACTCGGTTAAAAATGGCTAGTGCCGAAATTAAAGGAGTGATGAGATTTTCGGCGGGAAATCAGAAAGATTCTCGAGCGCAATCTTTGGCCACTAGAGCATTTAAAGTCCTCCGAATTGGAATAACACTTCGAAGAACTTGGGGGGCTAATTGTTGGTGTCGGATCCCGCACCAGAAGTACGAGACCAACCAAAGATTGCCACGTAATCAAGATAATGGCCCATAAAGGATGAAGCCCATTGGACCCGTGAGCCGAAGGGACGGTCGAAGTGGTTGTCATCATTTCGGGAATCCGAACTGACTGCACGGTGACACAAGTTCGGTGTAGAAGACATGGGTAAGTCGGTTCAAGGACGCTTGGGCCAAAAGAGGCGAGGCCCATGAAGATCAGAGTCAACTCAAATTCAAACGTTGAGCATTAAAGCCGAAGAATCAAAACGGACGCATTTAAGAAGAAATAATTGTACTTAATTACTCATTTTAATGTCGTTTATCTATGTATAAATATAGAGGCCAATGGCCATGTAAAAGGGATCTTCCTCTCAAGAGAGAAATACTATAGCAATTTTCGTATCAATTTACAAGTTCTTACGTATTCATTTTTGTCCCTCAAGAATAATCTTTCCCACTTAACAAAATACTTGAGTGTGTGAATCCGACATCTACAATTCTCCTTAGTTCCTGCAACAACACATGATCTTCAATAGCAAACATTCAAAGGATAAACAATCTCATAATCTTTAGTTTTTAACTCATTTCATAAACCATCTATACGGAACAAATTCATCAAATCCGAATTGTAATCATACAACTAGTCACAATGGCTATTAACAGAGGTAATTTCAAATCTGAATTCTAATTCAAATCCAAATTGTAAAACCCTCACATAGAAGAGGAGAAGTTCTCAGAAGAAATCAAAACCTAATTAAACCCAACACAATCAATCGAAATTAGGGATCTAACAAATGAAATTCAATCAAAAATGCACCTATTTAAAAAAAATCAAAGAGAACTACATATCAAACCCTCACAAAGAAGAAGAAATCAGAACAAATCAAAACCTAATTATACCCATCACAATCAATCGAAATGAGTGATCTAACTAATGAAATCTTACCAAGAAAAGACACGTCGGAGTTCTCACGGCGGATTCTTCGATTTCACGGTAGATTTCACGGAGAAGAAGAGAAAGGACGATCTTTGGATCAATAGAAACGAGTGAAGAGGGAAGAAGAAGACGACGAAAGAGTATCGAGATCAACGGTTGAGATTATTTAGAATCTATACCATCTGATCTATGCTCCCATCCATTCCTATTACAAGTGTTTTTTTATTACAGATTGAAGAGGCATCGGCATCTGCTATCAAAAACTTAGTTGGAAAAAAAATTTCAGTCATTTCTTTTTGATGAAAAAGATAAAATCTGCAGTGGGCATCAATTGCTTAAGCAAGCGTTGAATATTTTTGTTGTATATACTTTATCCTTAAACGTGAATATTTCGTAGTATACTTTTTTGTAATAAATCAGAATATTTTTTTAAATTCAGAAAATCATACTCTAATTATGTTAATAAATCACTAGATCCGGACCCGCACGTACGTGCGGGATTATATTTGTAGATATATTTTATTTGGTATAATATTTATAACCCAAATTTATATTGGTTTAATTTTATCAAGTTTATAAATGTTTGAAATAATAATCGTTTCATCATGCAATTTAGATCGACATGATAGAGGATCCATATCGAATATGAACTGGATTAGTGATCGGTTAGATTTATATTATAATCATGAACTATCAAACCAGATAAAAAAAGCGCACAAAAAGAAGAAAACGTCTTGAACTGGATGATCTATATATAGTTGTCAAGCGGATCAAACACATTTGCTAGGTCTGCCGACCGCCCTACAACATATAGAATATTTTGATCCGCAAAAAAAATTGTTCCGTGAAATCAACGGGAGTAAATAGTGTGTCCGCATCCGTCCTGTTTGAATTCGTGAGACCCGCAGACCTACATGCATTTCAATAAATGATTATTTATATTTTATAAATATACTTAAAGCTAAAAATTAACTAATATAAATAATAAGTAATTTGAAACATAAATAAAAATTTCTTTAAAAAAAACTTAAATTTTGTTAATAATGTTATATATATTATAAATTCTTAAAAGATTTTAATACTATATATTAGATAAATATATAATTATATTTTTTTCCAAAACTCCGCATATAACCCGCAAACCCTTTTCCGGTAAAAGTATATAATTATCAGTGAAAGTTTAAAAATTGAATTTAATAATCCAAATCTTATTATCTCGTCCCATTAACTAAAATTGTTGTCCCGTATTTTATTGAGAATAATTTAGAAAATATTTTTTATTTTTTGAATTACTCATGTCCATCTTGTGGAGTGTAAACGTTATTTTCTGTCCCAGTATTAAAATAGATAGGCCTATGAAAATTTTTGAATATGTTGTCAACCCGTTCCATCTTGTAATTTATCGAAAGTAATTTGGTAATGTTTTTTTACTTAGTATTAATAATAAGTAATTTTAAACATCCTTAAAAATATTCTTAAAAAAATTAAATTTTGAACATTATGTTATATATATATTACAAATTATTTTCAAATTTAATATCATATATTAGATAAATATATAATTATATATTTTGTTTTTCTAAAGCCCGCAAATAACCCGTAAACATGAGGTTAATCGGCAATAATATACAATTAGACAACTTAACATCATTAGTTAATGTGAATATAGTTCTTTTTAAAATATCTGTATTTTCAACGACACATCCGTATTATCCGTATTATATGTTTGGGTATTTAAAAGTTTAAAACAAAATTTGGTATATTTTCAAAAATACCTGATTTTAGAGTAAAAATATAACAACGTATACAAATGTGATATTGTGTATAATTTTGAATAATAAAATTCTTTTAACTAAACATAACCCATTATTTGATAAAGCCCACAATGAGCCCATACTACTTGCTCGATCTTCACTCATCTTCTCCGCTTTCATCCACCTCTTCCACTACTCCTCACCGTTTCAAATCCGCCACCACATATATCGCTACTGCCGCCGCGGTCTCAGGAATCTCCTCCGCCGCGAATCTGATCGGTTTTGTGGTATACGAAACTTACCTCTCCTCTGATCCACCGCTTTGTCTTTTTGTCCTCTCGCATGTGGACAATATTCGCAGGTCTCGAATTCTTCTATTTCTAAAAAGTTAGCTAAACTTTCTTTCAATAATTTCTTCTACTCTTAAACATGTGATGTGTTTCTTTATAGATTTGAATATAATTCTAAGATTGAACACACATGTCTAAGATTGAAGCTCTTTAGACACTAATCCTCAATATATAGTATGTCGTTAATTGCTATGGTTTTTAGTGAAATTGATGGAGTGAGAATATCATTTTAATGATTCAAAAGTATTATGTCAATTTCTAAATAATTAGTATTACACGTTAAGAACATAGTTTTGACAAACTATTTTCCTTTTGCTAATTAACAAATAGTTATCAAATTCACTTGATGAACGATGAATTTTTAAAAGTATTAGAAGTATCCCTTGAATAACTTATATAGAGGCTTTATGCATATAAGATATATGATGCTACGATTTAACTTATATGACCTTTCTAATATATTTTCTCTCTTATTGAAAGACAATAACATTAGTTGGTTTCTGTATTGTCTAGTTACAATAAGTAACAACAGTGATGATAAGATGAAACAAAAGATTATGTATTCCCTTCTATGTTAGACATGCGAACTTATAAAATCAAAGAAACAATACTTGTTACAGCAGATGTATTATATTAACATGTTTATTATCCTTTTGACAGATTAACATTGATGTTAAAAGTGTGAAGAATTGTTGGTGTGAATCACAATATGAAGAAAAGAAAAACAGCATATGCAAGCTCATGCCATTTTATTTAAAACAGAGGTTAGTAATGTTATTTAATATGTCTTAATAATCAAAACTCGAGAAACTATATAAACAAAATACATAGACAGTATAATCTAGAAAAGAAAAAGTCCTACATGTTCTAGAAAAGGATAAGACTTTATCTTTATCTGAAGAGCACTGTCAACCTGTAATGGAAAATTTTCAAAAAACAGCTTAACATCATTAGTTAGTCTAACATCAATTAGACAAAACACATTAGAAATCAAATGATAAAGACAAAGGTTAAGGGTTTTTACCTTAGTACTAAACAGTTTTCGATTATTTTCAAAATACATATTATCAAAGTGAGGCACATAACTTTCAAAAATTCGCTGCTCTCCTGTTTTGATAAACCTTTGAAGCTTGTTGACTTGTTGCTTCTTGACATAGCATGAATCAGGGTGCCCTTTAAAAAAACTATAAAATCATATTTAAATACATTGAAAATCTTAATTAGAAGCATATAAACATTTTTATTTAAAAAAAAGCATACAAACATAAATCGATAGGTGCATAGACGCTTACAAATGCATCATGTAGTGAGTCCACAAAAATGCAATATTCTTACTTGAATCCTCTAACTTGTTTGAAAGGTTTGATGTGAGCAAGGCTCGTGAAACCAAGATTTGCAGCCTTTTTTTTTTTTACTGAAATATATATAGCAATAAAAAGGAGAAGGTTCAAATGATTAGTGAGTGCTGAATATGTGAAGCGAATCCTTTATTTATAGATTAAGAAAATCGGCTAATATATTTCGGGTTTCAACCATAAAAAGCAAAATAATATCGTTTTCTTAATTTAAAAAAAAAAAGATTCGTGGTATATGCTTAATTTCAAAAGATTATGATATATTGTTAAGATTATTTATGGCATCTATAATTACTGTTGACGTCTAATATTCGAAACCGCCTCGCAAATATAGCAATTAATGATTCCATTTAATTATTTCTTAAATTGCGAAGATGATATATTATTTGAGTTTAAATTTTTCCATAATTTGTATTTAAAAATTGATTAGAATCGTTTTTAACTTTTTATGGTAAGGATGAAGATTACTACCACGTGGACGTCGAACATTGGGTATTATATTTTTCTGCAAAATAATAATAATAACAATTATCAATTAAATATAGATAATAAGGAATTTAGAATAAGATAAATCACCCTAATGATTAGCACTTGCCATAACTACCCGACAATAATTCGAATTCGATTTGTATTTGGAAAGTCGTGAATATTGCCATTTCAAATCAACAACCAAAAGTATCATAATATATAATAATTATGGAGGTTGACAAATAAGGCTTACATAGATCTTTGTTATATTTGTGCGAAATTCTTGGTATGTTTCCAAATCGGTATGATATAAAGGAAATATTCTAGGTACGTTAAGATTTATTCTCTAAATAATAAAACTCAAATTTGGTTAGTTATTATTGTGTGCAGGAGATTTGGAAATATCTTATAAACAGATTCGGTTATGTTAGAGATATATCATTAACAACTTCGGTTCTATTCACGGATCCAGCCCAAGATCCGCTTTTCAATCCGACCCAAGATCCGCTTTTTAATCAGACCCAAGATCCGCGTGTATTGACTTGTTGAAGTGACCGATTTACCCTTAATCGTTTTTTTTTGTTTGCTCTTTGATTTCACTTATTCCAATGGCATCTCTTGTAATTATTTACACTTAATAAGGTTATATATTATCTAATCTTTCCCAATTAATAGAATAGATATTACTTTTTTAAAAATTCATAAAAACATCTCATTAAAATTGTTGACAATTTGATTTCACTTACCTTATAGATGTGAAGATTTTCAAAACCGGCTGGTGCATCCGATTCAAGACTTATTCATTCTAGAAGTTATATACTCCTAAATTAGGAGAGCATGCAAATGATATGAGAAGATGAAAAATGAGTTTTTTTTATTATCATACTTTTAAACAAATAATGAGATCGAGTTTTTTTTTTTTTTCTTTTTAGAGATCGAGTTTAGAACTAGCAAATTCTTATTCTATATTTAATCTCATTATATAATCTAATTATTTACATTTTTCAGAAGAATTGGTTTGTAGGGTGAAAAGAATCCATGTTTCAGTGAACAGAACATGCCAACCGATTTGAGAAATTTGTAACTCAAGGAGATTAGAAAGTTATCGAGAACGTTAGATTGACTCATGAAACTAACGAGTGAAGTTCTCCTATATTTGCTTTCCATTACTAATATGTGTAGCTTCATGAGACTAACGAGTGAAGTTCTCCAATATTTTTTCACTAAATCTCCAAGAATATGTAATAGAACAATAAAAGAGTAATTCAGTATCACTGTTCATTGAGATTCAAAATTTGATTGTCAACTAACTTTCACTAGACACAAACGACCACAACACAAGAGAAAATAAAACGATTATAAAATGAAAACAAAAACCTTTTCTTTATGAATGAAGCCATTAAAAAGATTACACCTTATTTATTTTAAATTACCTCAAATTACTCCATGTTAATTGTAGTAAGTTGCTTGAAACTAGTCGAAATATTTGAACAGGAATCTAAACTTTATTTTATCTAAAATGAAATTGAAAAGTGAAAGATATCACAACCAGGAAAAAGATAAGGAGAAAAGATGCGAAAGATAGCCGAGAGTACACATTTAAGGCCCAATATAAAAGCCCATAAGAGTCAAAACAAGCAATACAAGTTTCAATAAGTTAAGACACGACAGAATTAATCCCTCTTCATTCATTCTCAGGATCAGTATCAGTTTCCCAGCTAGTGCTGCTAGTAGCAGAAGCATTGTCAAGTTCCATAGGAACAGAATCACCGTCAAAGACCACAGGAATGGAACCATCTAATAATCTTGTACAATCCAATATTGAGTCTTGAGAACGAAAAAACTCAGACTCATCATCAGACTGAACCAAGAAAACCTTGGAACCTCTAGCTTCCAAAGAGCGAAGAACCCTGAGACACTCGTCTTTAAGGGGGGATTTAGAGATAACCATCACATTTGCTGGGTTTGTACGAGAACAAGATGCAAAGGTAATAAGGTCAAAAAACATTGTGTCAACTCGAGTGTCTTTATCCCCTGGAGAAATATATCAAACAGAGATCTTGATTACATGCATATTATACATATAAGTAAAAAAAAAAAAAAAAAAGAAACAGAAAAGAGTGTTGAAGGAATTCACCTTCGAAATAGTAATAGATCCTGGGATCGCACCATTCAGCCTTTTTGGAGCTCGGCTCCTCAGGAGCATAAACCCTGATCACCCCCAAACTAAGAATACCCAATTTCTCAAGAGCTAATAGGATATTACGAGAAATCGAAAGATTGGGATCACTAGAGTTTGGGATTTCCTCGGTGAGCCAGAAGACGGCTGTGTCGATTGAGAACTCTTCACGAAAAAGAAAAACGGAGAACAACGCATAAACGATTAGGAAACAGAAGAATTAAAGAGAGATTACAAAAGATTGAGATATCCATTAACCATGAATTCAATAGATATGTATATGAAGGACAGACCGATAAGATGATATCAATCAAGCAATTTCGTAGAAAGGAAGAGAGATCTTACCGTTGTAGCCCAGCATGGTTTCGACGCGAGTGAATTAGAGACTTTTTCTCTTCCGGAGGAGAGAAACAGGATAAGAAGAAAACTCAATTAGGGTTGAGAGGGTCGCTTCCTTTTTATCTGCGGCTGATACCGACTGACTTTTTAGGGTTAGATCTGTGCCTTGTTTTCAGCCGAGTCACTTGCAGAGATAGAGTTGACTACATCAATTCTTCTAAGTGCTATTTCCCATGCTCAACTTACCACTCCTTCATCTTACATTCTGACGATAAGTGGTGATCACTTCTATGGAAAACTCCATAGAAGATTGAGGGATTTGAACTTTAACTCCTTCATTGCGGTACCTGAAAATGCCTTGATGGAGCATTTTGATCATCCAGATCCAACTAAAGCTATTGAAGAAAGGAGATATATTTGGAGTTTCAGGGACTAGCAGCTATGAATCCAACTCTTCAAGTAGTAGAAGAAGAAGAAGATGCTTAGGGTAGAACATAACTAAGCACATTTGCTTCCTCTTGTCTGATGATATTATCAAATCGCTGTGTGTGATTCCTCTTTGAGTTTCATCGCTTTTCTTATGTGTAATGGATTTGTTTCTTTTTTTCTTTTTGGATTCAGTTTTCAATGGAAACTTTGTTGTTGAAACGTTGTTATTTTATTCGAAGCAAAATCAGTTTATAATTACTTGCTGGTCAGTCATCTTTGTATAGCCAAACTTCTTTGTCCATATAGACTCTGCTTCTTCAGCTGCCGGAAGGACCAGGTTCTCAACATATAAAGAAGAAAGAAGATTCTCTACACAAGCATACAGCCCTTGGAAGTATCCCTGGTAGTGATCGTTTTGCTAAATACCGTTATAGATTTGTGCCACATAAATGTATCTTTTCTGGTCATTGGATTCAATTTGAAAAGGTCAGGCCAAATAAGGAGCTTGAGAGTCTTGTCATGTTCGGGTATCTAGCTTTTCTTGTCATGTTCCTTATGACTTATGAGTATCAGAACTCTCTTTACACTTCTAGTTCTGAAACTCTTGACTCTCTTTTTGAATAGGATATCTTCAAAAGTGAAGCTAGTCTTCATACTGGTTCTGAAGCATTACTCAATGATATCCTTTCCGAAGACAATGAGAATGGTGATTATGATCCTGGAACGAAGGAAGACGGAAATTGCATTTGTGGCTTGGAAAATGCAGGTGGTGACTGAAGATGGCAAAAGAATGTTAGCTAGATTGAGCTGCTCGTCTAATGGTGTATAGGCTTTTCTAAAGGATTCAGCAGCCGTGATTTAGAACCCCAAAATGAAGGTCATGCATTTGTAAATAGCAGCATTGAAGAAGTTCTATCCAGGCCAAGACAATGGAGAGCGGTGGACTATACTATGTAAGTACCTTTGAATTATAATAACTTTTATCTGTTTACGGGAGAAATATAGTGATTTGCCTCAAGAAAAAAGCAGAGGAAAAAGTTAATGATATACTTGAAGGCCGGAGTAGAAGAAACTCGTTTTTTGAGATTCTCCATAGGACAGTAGTTTACACATACAAAAGCATGCCAGTGTTGTTTATTTACTAACAAAATTGCTAATAGTTTCCAATGGTATGAGCAACCATATGATATGTCTTCCAATTATTTCGCAAGACTGATAATGCTAAGTTGTTTTACCCTTTCATGCTCACAAGATTAACCACCTTCTTGTTATGTAATAATTCCAATTCAATTATTTTGCAACACTATTGGTATAACTGTTATAGCTTATGATTTCCTTGTTTATCATTACTCAGAAAGGACTGTCTTTTAAATGAGCAGATTTTTTAAGGCGAAGACTGAGGTCTAAGTAACAGATACAAACTTGTAACTATGTGCAAAAGTAGTTAGAGAGACCCGGATGGTGAAACATCAAAAGAGGAGGAAAGACTCTATGTAGAAGATGAAGGTATAAGTTCTATTTTTCAGACTTCCCAGAGGTGTTGTTAAGGTCTAACGTTTGCTTCCTATTTTCTAATCTCTTCTGTAGTTTATAAAACATATCTGATTGCTGCGTCTAAAACATAACAGACTAACTGCTGGCATTATGTAGAAGTAAGTCCATCAGGTATTTGCAGAACCATATGTAAGTTAGAACGTGTTAGGCTATTACATCCTGATTCAAAGCTAAGAAACATTGGTTTGTCAGTATTGGTTATCATATATTTAAATTCCACTGTCAGGTCATGAAATGGTGTAACAACATCTTACAGTGAGGAGTAGGAAGGTGGGCTTTAAGATAGCTAAACAAGGTATCTCTCAACAACCTCACTATTCTAAGGCATCCTCTGAAAACTCTGGGGCTATAGCAATCAACGAGAACAAAACTGAGATTAATCAACTTCAAGATTCCACAAACGAGACTGCTTCACTCAGCAGGCAAGTATCTCTCTTTCTTCCTTCAACCGCAGATTAAAAGACACAGTAGTAGCACAGCTAGTTTTCTCATTAAACTCTTAGGTGTAAGTGAAAAACAGAAGTTGAAATTCATGATTTAGCACTGCTCTCATCTTTTCTTTCTGACCATTGCCATTAGTATGCACATTCTTTTTGCAACTTCTAAAATGTCACATCTTTTTCATTGTCTGAGTCTAGGCCTTCGACAAGTTGAAAGAACGATATGAGCTTAATGCAACTTCTAGAAGACAAAGAGACAAGAAGAGGACGACTTTGAAGCAGTAACGAAGAAGCTTCCTTTAGAACTGAAGCACATCCATGGAGACTTATAACCGAGAAAACTCAGGAAAATTTTAGGCAAGTCTTCTTGTTTTACTCCATGAGGACTCAATAGCAGAGACTTTTGAGCTTCTTGGAGAAATGTTGTTATGTTGTAGAATCAGATGTAGTTTTGTATTGTTTGATCCTCTTGGAATTATCAAGTCTAAGTCTTGACACATGTAGCTTTGAACTTTCTGTAACAGTGTAACATCTATGTATGTAATATAAGAAATGCCAAAGTTTTGTGTTTTCTCATTGTGATTTGGTTTGCAAATATTGAATCTGTGAATTTTCTCTAGTGATACAGTTTCAGAGATTCAGGGATCAGAATGCAAGAAACTAAAAAAATAAACCCTTTTAACACAAGAACAAAAATCTGAGCGGTTTAATTATAAATTAGATTTTGAAGTTATAAATATAAATTTTCCACAGGAAAATCAAAGAAAAGTTGTTTTGCCAGTGAGTTAGAGAGAGAGAGAGAGCGATAGAGCGAGAGAGAGCGACGGAGAGAGAGAAACTTGCGTCAGTGGAGGAGAGTCGGAAACTTGAGAAACTTGTGTAGAAGAAACGCCATATCTCGGAGGAAGCCCAAACGAGGATTTAGCTATTGTGTCTCTTCGTAGTCATCTGGTAAATGCGAGATTGTTCTTCTTGTTACGAAATTGTTTGTTCATTGTCTTGTTTGTTGTTTTGGACTGGATTATTGAGTGTGATTTGTGAGGTATGTGAAGGTTTTGTGCAATTACTGCAATTGAATTTGGTCTTTAGTCTCCGATGGTTTTGTGCCTATTGATTGTGTTCTAGGGTTTTCATAAGAACGAAAGTCTGTTTTGTTGTGAGTTTCTCAGGCTATATATGACTGAAAGATTGAAATTTCTCAGAGATTGTTGAGATTGAGACTTGAATTTTAGCATAGAAGGGGAATTTACTTACTTCACAATCGTTTTATGCAACCTGGATTTAAGATGCTATAGATATGTTTAGCTTGAATCTAGGTTGAAGGGTGCATGGGTTTCTAGATTTGAGTCACGGTAGATCCGAATCTTTTTGGTTTTCTCAACATCTAAGAACATCCTGGACTATCTGAATGGAAAGTCTGCATTTTTGACACTAGAGGGACCAACTTCGTTAGGAGTCCATTTTGTTTTTTCTTAGTGAGATTGGAGATGATGAGAACAATATGTGTAGGCTTAGAATGCAGTACCACAAAACTATTCAATTACGAATCAGGAGAGCAACCCTTTGGGCTCTTGATAATTGGCTGGGGTTAGTATAAAACAATGGGTTGGACTAAAATTATGTACGGTGAAATTGATCCAAATTAGTAATCAGAAGATAACGTACTGTTTCGTTTTTTTTAAATCATGGTTTCTTGGATACTGACTCTGTTCCATGTTTTGCTTTCGACATTTAGGAGATCAGGAGGATATGAACTCTACCATTCCAGGGGGACTACATGAAGAAGTTGACCAACAGATTCATCGGTACTTAGAGAATTAATGTGCTTTCAGATACTTTTGGGTTTATCAGGAAAAGATGTTGGTGGAAAGTTCGTTCAGCTCTTCCGTTGAATCTAGTCTACTGAACGTGTCCGAGTATCAAGATCCATTTGCTACATATGATTGGGCTTCGCTTGCTGAAACTTATCAGATGATCCACAAAGTTCCCGAACAGTCTCAAGTAAGCTTTTGTAAAGCTGTTCCAGTCACTGATGCAATGAATCTTGATGAATCAAAACATCCAAAACATCACAAAGTTCCCGAACAGTCTCAAGTAAGTTGTCCAGAGAAATCTGTTATGCACAAGGTATCGGGAAAGGCCCTGACTTCTCTTGTGTATCGTCGAAGGAAGAGGAGCTTAAAGCTTGGGGGAACTGAGGAACATAACCTAGGAAAAACCAGGAAACAGGATGATTCACTTGATGACTCTATTGTCTCTTTACATAACACTGGAGAAAGTACAAAAAGGAAAAATCGCTTCAACAACTGTCTTGTCTATAGCCGGAAAAAAAGGAGAGGGGAATCCAGTTGTACTTTTACAGGAGAAACTACGATAAGGGGTGCTGGGCTTGATGATGCTTTTGTTTCTAAGCATGACTGTGGAGAAACCAGGAGAAGAGGCAATCGATCAGATAATTGTCTTGTGTATAGCAGAAAAAAAGGTAGAGTGAAATTTAATAGTTGTACTTTTAGCAAACATGTCACTGGAGGAACCAAGATAGGCTGTGATCAAGCTGAATCTTCTGCATGTAGCCACAGGGGACAGGTAGTTAAAGCTGATAGTGCTTTTACTGGACCTATCCCTGGAGAAATCAAGAAAAGTGGTCATCAACCTGTTTACAACCGAAGCAAGCAGTTAGTGAAATCTAATGGGAGTTTTACTGAAAGTCATGTTGGGAAAACCAAGAGAAATGGAGAAAAATCTGATGTCTTGCTGACATATAGCCGGAGGAAGCAGAGAGGCAAATCTGTTGGTGATCGGGTTAATGGCTTTCTAGTTTATACCCGGAAGAAGTTAAAATTCAGAGGACCTTTTGCTAGACATGACCTAAGAGAAACCAAAACAAATGGTGATCAACTTGTAGATGATACCCAGGTTACCGAAGTGACATATTCTTCAGATGGAACTAATGACAGCTGCTCGTCTTTGAAATCCAGTTCTGAAGTTGATTCAAGTTCGAGTACAACTGGGGAAGATGATCGCTATTCCTCTGATGCTGTGGTGTCTGAGACAGATACAGACGGTAGTAGCGGCCCTTTCAGGCTGTGTAAACATTGTGATAAGCCAGGAACTGTCGAAAAGATGCTAATTTGTGATGAATGTGAAGAAGCATATCATACAATCTGCTGCGGTGTACAAATGAAAGACATCGCAGGGATAGATGACTGGCTCTGTCCATCCTGTTTGAAAAATAAGCCATCAAAGACCAAGACGAAGGGGAGAATTTCACGGGAACGGAAATGGAGAGTTACAGTACCATTGGTAATAGGAGTTCGAATAGGAAAAAAGTTTCAAGCAGATGTTCCAGACTGGTCAGGTCCAACAATGAGGTATGCACTTCGATATTCAACAGTCCTTTAAATTATTGTGATATCAAAGATGTCTGTCTACTCGTAAATGAGTTTTGTTCCTGTCACCAAAATGAGTGGCCATTGTTTTATTTGGTTGACATACAAAAGCGTTTTGATCTCAATGCAGTGATACTTCTTTTGTGGGTGAACCCTTCGAAATTGATCAGTCAGAATACACTCATGTAAGCTCTCAGTATAGTGGATAAGCATAAGTTTATGTTTTCATAGAATTGGCTGGATTTCAGATAGCTGCCATTCATCTCTCTTTGCAGGATCTCAAGAAGGCCAAGAATAGTAAGAAACAATGTTCTGCAGTGAATTGGCTTCAGTGCAGAGAGGAAGATAGTAATGGAGATATCTGCGGAAAGTG